TATATATATATTATGTAGTGTGTGTGTGTCTGTCTGTCTGTGTGTGTTGGGGGTCGGAGGGTTGTAATTTTGTTTACAAATGCCATAAGTATGTTTAACCTTGACTCTCTTTGAAAGTAATTATTGCTTACATTTATTTTCTGCTATAGACTTGCCACTGCTTGTTCAGGCTTACATCTTGTAAGACATTGCCCCAAGTCTTTAGAGTTTCTCAACCTTTAATTACATTAGCTCCTAATTGCTGGAGCTTAGATCGTGGTAGAGGACCACTAGACACTTTGGCTTTCCACCAGCTGCCATGTGTCTGGACACCACTGAGAATTAGGTTTTCTCACCACTATTATTTCCTGTAACTGGTCACATGATCCATGCCTTCTGCAAAGCAATACTGTTCATTTTCCTTTCTCCTCAGCCAGGTTTTCTAATTTATCAATTGATTGGCTTCTCTCCCCCCACCCCCATTCATGCTTTTTCACCCATTAGCATCTTCAATGAAGTAACCAGTATATGAAATAATATCTAATATTTGGGTGGGTAAGTTACTTAGTTTTATTATTTTAGTAGTGGGATTAAACCTCTAAAACAGGGTCAACATATCAACTGAGGAGGCAAAGGTCAGATCTGAAGAACAGTCCTCCAGAAACCACACATAAGCCAAAGAATCCTCTAACAGCAAGACCAGGGACAGGCCTGGGGCCGGGGGCGGGGGTGGGGTAGGGGTAAGCAGGATGTCTCACCAGATGAACTCCCGGCAGTGAGAGCAGTAGGTGGGCTGCCTCAGGTATGTGGCCATGAACTTATGTCCATTGACTTGATGGACTCGCCTTCGCATAGCCCTTTGGCGCTTCCGGGTAAAATGCTTGAAGATGCGGTCTCTCTGGAGAGTGGCTGTGTGTTACAAGAAAGGAAAACATGGGCTGAGGATATGACTTATAAAGTACTCATTACACAAGTATCAGGACTGGAGTTCAAATCCCCCAAGCCCTCTTAAAAAGCTTGGCATGGTAACATAGGTCTGTAATCTGAACTCTGGAGGAGCAGGGGTAGAGACAAAGGAACTCTGGTGTTCCTTGGCAAACCAATTTAGTCTTCACTTCTGCCGTCCTCCTCATAACACGGATGAGGCGGGTTGCCCAAACAGTCAGCACGGACCCTCCGATGTTAATCTGAATTAGGTAAAAGTAATCAGTGGTGGGTTCAAATTTTTCTAAGCTGATATATTAAAAATAGTGGTTCCTAACTGAAGTCCTTGCAAACTGTACAGCATTTAAGGACAGTGGATTATGTTTTCCACGTCATTAGACTAGGTTTTCCCCAACACGTGCAGAGATGTGACACAGAAAGCCAGTGTATGGCCTCAGGATGCTTCTGAAATAAATCACTGGTATAAATAAAATGTAAGAAACTTATGTGAGAGTAAATTAATAATAATTTTAAAATCTAGACTAGAGGAATGACAGGCAGTAACTGTGAACAACTTTATGGAGTGTAGAACCATGCTTGAGTACAGTTGTCTATTCCTCAGGAGCTTCCCCAACATGGTATGAACAGATTACCCATCATCTCAAACAGCTATCATTTCTTCATGATTCGAACACTCGAAACCCTTTCTTACAGCTATGTGATTAATATAATACAATATCACCAACTATATCACCTCCGTGTAGCAAAACACCAGAGTTTGCTATCTGGCTGTAACTGTTCTCAATGTATAAAATGACTTAGTTAGGGTGTCTATTAATGTGATAAAACACCATGACCAAAAGCAACTTGGGGAGAAAATGGTTTACTTCAGCTAATAACTCTTGGGTCACATTCCATCCCTGAGGGAAGCCACAGCAAGGATTCAAACAGGGAAGGAAGCTGAAGGCAGGAGCTGAAGCAGAGGTCATAGAGGGGTGTTACTTACTGGCTTGCTCCTCATGGTTTGCTCAGTTGGTTTCTTTTTTTTTAATTTATTTTATTTTAGGTACATGAGTCCACTATTGCTTTCTTCAGACACACCAGAAGAGGGCATCAGATCCCATTACAGATGGTTGTGAGCCACCATGTGGTTGCTGGGAATTGAACTTAGGACCTCTGGAAGAGCAGTCAGTGCTCTTAAACGCTGAGCCATCTCTCCAGCCCCACTCAATCTACTTCCTAATACCATCTAAAACCACCTGTCCAGGGATGGTCCCATCCACAATGGGCTGGGCCCTCCCACATCAATCATTAACCAAGAAAATGCTCTATAAACTTCCCTTATGAAGGCAATTTTTTTCAAATTCTCTCTTCCTCAATATGTCTAGGTTTGTGTCAAAGTGACAAAAGCCAATTGAGTCAATCTCAAATAAATGTTATTGAGGAATTGTAGAAACATAAGGAAGCACAGAAAATATTACACTCCTATAACAGAAGAAGGGTAGCCAACCCCTCATGCCTTAAAAGATGAACAGATTCACAATTAGAAAGGTAAAGTTCTGCTTGGCAAAACACACAAAGCAAATAGTGGATAGAAACAAACTGAAGAGAAAAGGGGTTTGCAATTCAAAGGAGAGGGTTACTACACAATATATATAGAAATCAGCCCATATAGTGGCACAGGACTGAAATATAGCTAATTGGAAGCTTGAGCCAGGAGGGTCACAAGTTCAAGACCAGCTATGGAATAGGGTGAATTCAAACCTAATCTGGGCTGTTTAGTAAGATCCTGTCTCCAAATAAAAAGTTTAAAAGAAGACTAGTGATACAGCTTGATGGGAAAGCCCCTGACCAGAATACTCTAGATCTTGGGAATGAAGAAGATGGGGGAGGAGGAAAAAAAGAGAAGGAGGGAGGGAAGGAAGGAAAGAGGGAGGAAGGGAGGAACTCAAAGAAACCAGTAAGAAAAACAAGTGAACAATCTTGTAAAAATCAGGCAGGGATTATAAAAAAAAAAATTGAAAACTACACAGATAGCCAATAAACATATCGAGACGTCAAATCCTATGTAAGATAGGCGCTTAAGAACAAAACTAAATCATGCTCTACCTTTTAAATTCATAAGTGTGAAGAGACTTGTATGTGTGCTGACAGTGATCAGTAGGAAGATGAACTGGGGTCCTGGACTGTCCAGGACTTGTGGAGTGCTCTTGGTACAAAGCCGAAGCATGCCTGTGTACCAAGCAGGCAGTACTGTTTTCCTGCCTTCCAGGTAGGTGTAATGAAGAACACATTCAAAACACTCAGCACGAAGCAACAACCCATAGCATTAAAAATGGAAGCTATCTCAGAAAAATTCCTGGGGTGGGGACTAATACCTTTCAAAATGTATTCTTACATTCAGCAATCCACTTGAAGGATTTTTGTTTTTTATATAAAAAAATATGCCAGTAAGCAAGAGCATACAGTCTACATAGATACAAGTACTGCAATCCTTTCCAGGAGAAGTGGGGTACACACCTCTGGTCCCAGGTACCCAGGCAGCTGAAGCGAGAGGACTGCTTGAACCCAGAGCACCGAGGACCATCTGGGTAACAAAGTATGACCCTAAAATTTAAAAGTTCTTACATTTAAAATCATTTAAAAACACCTGGAAGCAGAGGGGACACCACCAGCGATGAGTGTGGGTCGCGGAAGGGATCGGTAGATCCCACCACGCATGGAAACGGCATACGGAGACCCCGTTTTGTTTGCTAACGTGCACTAAGAAAAGATAGAGAGGAAGTAGAATGTACATTAAGAAGCCCGGAGAATAAAATGCAAGAAGAGCCAAAATGAATTCGGATAAAAAGCCACTGAATTCAGAGGCCCAGACACAAGTATACAGCTGCTTTCAGGGTGGAGTTTGCAGTCTCCGTCATACTACCTAATTTACTTCTCTCTCGTGTCTTCTGTCTCAAGAAGATAAAATATAGCACTGTCCTGCGTCCTGTGAGGATAATGCGTTATAGAATCAATATTCCTGCCAGGTTCTACATGTACACCATCGACAATGTTGGGCAATGGCTACATAGGACAGAAGTCACCCCACTGCCCTTCCCTTCCTCACTGCTACCAAGAGTCTCTCAGGAACCCCCAAGTGAACAGGCTCCAAGGTCCCCTGGGTGGCAGATGATAACAGTGAGACTAAGGCATCACCATGTGTGTGATCATCAGCCTGAGACACAGCTCAGTCATGGCAGGATGTGCACTGAACTGCTAACCACTTACCATACCTACACACGGATTAAATTCTCTGTAGGAGTCTAATTACCAAGAACTGATTCATTTACTCCTTTAATACTACAAAGATGGGCTGAAAGGTCAGCTCACTTGCATTTTTAATATTTCATGAGTTAAAACCTTTTTGTTTGCTCAGCGGCGGTCTGCAGAGCGGTAGCATGAGCTATAACTTTCCAGATTCCTTCTAACCAGGAAATGTAAGCCTAATATGTTGCTGTCCTCCATGCTGTTCTGATCTTCCATCCTTCCCAGAATACCTCTCAGTTTTCCAACTACACGTATCTTTATCCTACCTGCTTCCGAACTGAGCAGCCTCCGCCAAATTCTCAAGCAGGTAAAATGCTCCCCAGCTGAGAGTGGATCCCAGTCACTTAAAGCCTCAACCCTGTCAGGCAGGCTTCTGCAGGTCCTGAATACACAGGGACTCTGCCTGCATGTCACTCATTCTTTCCTATGTTCTTTCATATGTGCACCTTTTTGTTTCAAAAGCAAATGGGTACACACGTGTACACTCGTGCAAACACACACACACACCCCACATAAACACCGGGAATCTGCAAGACATTTGGACACAAACACTTCAGGGTCTGCGTTACCCACAGTGGCATTCTCTTGACTGATGCTATGAACAGGAAGGGGAGAGGGAATTCTCCCATTGCAGCTTTCGGTGACAAAAAGTGGGGCTTTTTGCACCCCACTTCACAAACTGAGGACAGAGCGGGCTTTCTCATTGCTTGGACTGGTTTTCTGTTTACTTAGGTCGGAATTTAAAGGGCTATAAAAGACTACCTAATCCTGACTGCGGCTCACGCCACCTGGGCTTTGAGAAATCTTTCAAATCATATTTCAGTCAGACACGTTGAGCAATCCTTACATGCTTTGCAGCTAAAACTTGCATCACAAGCTCTGCCTGGCTTCCAAGTGCCCAGGGCCTCTTAAATAAATAGGAAGCTGGCTCTGTGCCCCAGCAAGGAAATACACATTCCAATCTCCAGGGGTCAGCAGCAGCCTTGCAGCCCTGGTAAGTCCCTCCAGGAGTTGACTCTGAGCAGCCATTACCTGGATAGGGTGCAGGGCAAGCCTGTCAATATTGTGAAAAGGAATCTTTCTTGACAAAATTTCAGTGTTGCAAACCGGACTGCTAACCTGCATACAGTTTTGAGAACTGCCGGGTGCTCACGCCTAGGAGCCGCCATGGAATCCCACGGTAAGGGCTCATTTGCAAAAAGTTGTTCTGCACGAAACACCGCATGAGGCTTAGCTGAGGCAACTCGGAGCTCCGATGGCTCTTCAAATCAGCTTTACCTTTACCTCAAGAAAGGTAACTTCTGCAACCTCCTCAAGAAAGGTAACTTCTGCACCCTCCTCCAAAAAGTTTGTCTCACTAAGCTGATGTGAGGCTCTATTTGAAAACGCTTTGCGCTGGGCGGTGGTGGCGCACGCCTTTAATCCCAGCACTTGGGAGGCAGAGGCAGGTGGATTTCTGAGTTCAAGGGCAGCCTGGTCTACAGAGTGAGTTCCAGGACAGCCAGGGCTACACAGAGAAACCCTGTCTCAAAACAACAACAAAAAAACCTAAATAAATAAATAAAAATAAAATAAAATGAAAACACTTTGGAAGCATTCTGATGCAGAGCAAGAGCAATGCTCACAGTTCCTAACTTTCTTTCTGTGTGCCCTTCATTCACAGCTTCCTGGCATCT